AATACCATAACCGTAAACTGTAAACCCTAAACGTTAAAGCGTAAATTCTAAAATCTGAACCATAAACCCTAAACTATGAACCTTAAATTTAAACTTTAAACCATGAACCATAAATATGAAATCATTAACCATAAATTATAAATCCTAAATCCTAACCCTTAACTCTGTACCCTAAACCCTAAAACCAGAAATCTTAAAGCATAAAACCCTAAAATTTGAAAACCTTAAAACTCTAAAATTTAAAACTAAATTGTTAGCCCTAAACACTAAACCATAAACTTTAACTTAAACCTTACAGTTCATAGTTTAGGGTTTATAGTTAATGATTTATGGTTTAAGGTTTATGGTTTATGGTTTATACTTAATGGTTTAAGGTTTAGAGTTTTATGGTTTAGGATTTTAGAGTTTAATGGTTTATAGTTTAAAGTTAACGATTTAGGATTTTAGGGTCTATAATTTTAGAGTTTTAAGATTTGAGGTTTACAGTTTGAAGTTCAGGGTTTAGAGATAAGGATTTTAAGGTTTATTGTTTAAGATTTAAGTTTTATGGTTTAGGTTTCTAGGGTTAAAAGCTTAGAGTGTAGAGCTTAAGATTTTAAAACCTTAAACCTTGAACCCTAAATTTTAAACTCTAAACCCTAAACTGTAAACCATAGAACCTTAAAAACATAAAACTCTAAAACTTAAATCATTAACTGTAAACCATGAACCATTAAAACCTAAAATCCTAAAACTTAAAATCTTAAAATTGCAAACTCTAAACAATTAACTGCAAACCCTAAACCCTGAACCATAACCTTAAACCTTGTGATTCATGATTTAGGGTTTATGATTTAGGTTTTAGGGTGTTTTAGTTTATGGTTTAAGGTATGGAGTTTTAAAATTTTAGAGTTTTAGGGCTTTAGGTTTAGGGTTTAGAGTTTAAATAGTGCTAAACCGTAAACTCTAAATCTTAAACCTTAAACCTTAAACCTTAAACCTTAAACTTTAAATTCTAAACTCTTTTCCTTAAACCTTAAACACTAAACCCTAAATCCTAAAATCTAAATCGTAAACTCTAAACTTCCAAATTCTAAAATATTAAAATTTCTTTAAATCTAAATTGTAAACCCTAAACTCTGAACCATATATACCAAATCCTAAATCCTGAACCATAAATCTTGAACCATAAACTTTAAATTGTAAACTATAAACCCTAAATCATAAACCTTAAATTTTAAACTATTAACCGTAAATCCTAAACTCTAAAACCTAAAATCAGAATCATAAACCCTAAATTATAAACTGTACATATATATTTATTTTAATTATTTTTTTATTTCCACACATTTTTGTTAGTATTATTTATAATCAATCTATTCAATCAATTTTTGATAGATTTGTCAAATTATGGTAAGAAGCTTGAATTATTTTTCCTTGATATTTCCAAAAAAAAGCTATTTATTATGGATACTTGATGTTGAAATTCACTAGTATGTTATGTTTTAAAGATATAATAAGAAAAATGAGGCCTTTATGCAATAAGTCGTGGTAAAGAATTATTTTTTTTAGCATTATCTTTATAAAGAACTCAAATTTATATACTTTACGCAGTAAAAGATCTACTTGATGTTTTTATAAAAAATTGAGAGATAATTATGAATAACAGTGGTAGTTCTAAAAACTCATTATGACTGTATACATTCTAAATCATAAAATTTTATAACTTTTAAGTGTAACTTTGTTGTATTTTATATAAGCTCTCAATTTAAAATTGTGCTTAAAAAATATGATTAATGAAACATGCTAGAGAAGTATTCTCTATTTTTCATGCATTAGATATGCTTCTACAACAACAATATTGATATAAACGTTTTCAACAATAATCTCTCAAGTAACTAATGAAAAATAATGAATCTCATTCAACCGATTCTATCTAATTCTTTGGAAATAAGTACGATGACATTTTAATAATTTAAGGCATCTATGAGGTTGTGCGCGTGGCGAAGGCCTTGGATGTGAATTTACTTCAAATTGAAACAAATAATATTACAATGACCACAATAATAATTTTCGTAATAATCATCTGATCCACCAAAAGTGCAAAATATATGAAAAAAAAAGACTACCAGCAATTTAAGAAGCTCATAAACGTCTTATCAATGTGGCTTAAGGGACATTGGTCTTGTACATATTGTAAGTTACAATGTTTGATGGATCTTTATCAAACTTCATCGAAAGAAAAGATAAAATTAAACACATTTTTTTAAATAATTTTCGATCAAGATCCTATAAATATAATACATTTTGACAAAATCAATTTTAAAAAAAATAAATAAAATTCAGACTGAAATAGTGATTTCTTTAGATATAAAAATGTAAAAATTAATTAGTTACTTCTTGTATTGTTTTATTATTTTTCTTTAGTAACTTGTTATTTAGATTAAAATATTAACACATATTAATTATCTTTTTTTTTGTTTTTTTAACTCATCTTCTGATATATTAATTTATTTTCATGAAGAAATATAAATACTTTTCAAATTTAGTTTGACCCAACATCAAGAAAGAATATAGATGTTTAGTTGACAGACTAAATATACATTTCATATTAGAAGATAAAATATATTTTATTTAATGATGAGTGAAGCTAATATTAACATAATATTTAACATCATTACTGCACAATTTGTTAGTTATCATTTTAGTAAGATAATTTTTCTAATATTAAAAAGAAATGCAAACAGTTGAATAAATAAATTGATCATAACACGTTATTTTTATCATCGTATATTGATTCTTGCACAAAATAATGTAAACGATAAGCTTACAAGATAATTTATCTATAAAACATAACCAATTATCCGACACATTCAATGATGTTAAAAGAGTAAACAAAATCACTGAACCACCTACAAATGTACCGGTTATTTTTTCTCTCCCTCTGGGACAATATGCTAATACAGATGTACAGTAAGTGACTCTGGAGCATGCATGAAGTATGGAGATCAATTGGTTCCAAAGAAAAATAAATGAAAGAAAAAATGTGCGAACACTCAAGATGGCCAAATTGATAAAAAGAAATTAACAATAAATTTGTCAAGGAATACCAACATAGAAATGATTGGCTAAAATGAAAAGATGCCATAAAAATAAAATAAAATATACTTAATAATTGAAATAAAATTTTTGAAGTTAATTAGACGTGTTTCTAAAGATACTAATTAAATAATTTATATCACTACAAAAAAATGTTAGAACTATAAAAATGTAATTGTCGATAAATGATAAATGATAAATGATGAGCTTATTAAATCTGAATTTGTCAAGGAATACCAACATAGAAATGATTGGCTAAAATAAGAAGATGCAATAAAAATAAATTAAATTTAGTTAGTAATTGAAATAAATATTTTCCAGTTAATTAGACGTGTTTCTAAAGATACTAATTAGGCAAGTTATATCACTCCGAAAAAATGTTAGAACTACAAAAATGCAATAAAAATAAAATTATATGTATTTCTAAAGATACTAATTAGGCAAGTTATATCACTCCGAAAAAATGTTAGAACTACAAAAATGCAATAAAAATAAAATTAAACTTACTAAGTAATTGAAAAATTCTTTGGGCATGTAATTAAATTTACTTTATTTAAGATTTTGATTGGATTCTAAAATTGGCAAGAAAGTCAGACCAGTTCTCCAAACTACATGCACAATACAGTTATATATCTTGATGCATAAACGTCGCTATGCACACTAGTGGAAAGATACAATGCAAATCGTAGTCTCAGACAATTTTCTGGCTTTCAGCTTGTTTTGTTACTTCCAACAACAGTCTTGTGTTGCAAAAGGTTGTCACTTTTGTAGCAAAATTAAAGGAGAGCCTATAACTCCCTTCAGTTGGTCTACCACCAAAATTGCAAAATATTGACACAAATGGGGAGAAATAATGAAAGAATGTAGACATGGAAAATCAGTTGTTTATTACTTTCCATTAGCATTAGCATTCTTGAGGAAAGGCCAAAGATTTACCAATCGCTCAAGTACTGCTGCACTTTTTGAAAAATAGCCCGAGAATCCTGCAGGTGTAGATGGCGGAGGAAAATCTTCTGCTGGCATCGCAAATGACCGAATCATCATTTCCATTTTCTCCAGTGTAAGGTATGACCCTACCTCTTGCAACCTTTCTGGACCCATTATTGGCAGTGTGTGCTCCTGATGCAATGAAGCAGCCTCACTATCGTTCTTTTGCTGGGAATCATACGAAACAGATTAAAAAAACTTAGTAAGTGATTCCACCATTAGTTTTCTTATAGAAAAATAAGTACTAATAAGAATAGAAAAAGATTACATATATGAGAATAAGATATTCTCCTCAAATTGAAAAAACAAAGTAACAAAAGAGAAAAAACAAAATAAAATACTAGCTACAGGAGTATAGACTCCAAATTCTGAAGCACTCTAAGATTTTTGCCACCCAATTCTTATGTAACATTGAGAGACCAGTGTCGGAAAACCATCCATGAGCTTTTGTCCATAAATTGGCCAAGAATGTAGTCCTTTTCCGTAGCTCTTGATTAAACAAAAAGCAATCATTAAATATGACCCTTCTCAACAGGGGGTTGACCTCCTTTTGAATTCCCTCTCCATGTAGACATGAGCTCAAACACTTGGATAATTGTAAACACGTTAGCAGTGAACCTAACATCATGTTCCAAGAAAAGGATTGTGGTGTCCACAAATTGCAATGAGAAATCTCAACCTTATCCATACTAATCTCGAAACCTTATAAATGTTTGGCTGTAGTTTCTAATTGCAACGTCTCTTTTCAAAACACTTTGTAACCAACTGATAAATCAAAACTGTTTTTAACTAAATTCAAAGTTAAAATCTGTTTTCGATAGACTAAAGACATAAGCTGAAACTACTAACTTTTGAAAGTGTTCAAACTTTCAATATTTCCTTTCCAATACTATACTTAAATAATTTAAAAAATTGCACATTATCCTTTATTTTACTTCGTTCAACTGCTGCCAACCGTCATCTGCCGGCCCCTGGCCATTCTTTGTCACCCCGTAGGTGCCATCTGCCACCAATTGGCTGCACTTTGCTGCATGTCGCTTGCTGTTGCTACCCACCAGCTGCCTTGCATGCCACCTGACACTTGGCGGCCCTAGCAGCCTGCGCTACCCGCCAGTCACTGGCCACCAGCTACTGCCCCCACCAACTGCCGCCAGCCCTCATAAATCAAATCTTACTAAAACTAAAAAAATTAATTAATTGATTTTTATTTCTTAATATTATTCTATAAATAATAACTCAAATTAATTTTTCTATTAACTTTCTTTTGTTAAGTATATATATTTTTATATAATATATATAAATAATTATTTAATTAAATTTTTATTTTTTTATATTTAATATAATTTTAGTATTCACATTTGTTTTATCAAACACAACTTTTACTTTCGTTTATTCTCTTCTTATACCATTTTGGCTAACACAACTTTTACTTTGGTTTATTCTCTTCTTATACCATTTTGGCTAATTCGAGCATCAACAATTATTTTAACCAAACATTCAACTTATGTTTTTTAAGATGAAAACACTTTTTATAACTATTTTTATTTAACAGCTAACAGTTTCAGACTAAAAGCACTTATACGTAAGTTATTTTAACAGCACTTTAAACTCAGAGCCGAAGCTACAACTACTGCCAAATATAGCCTAATACCCCTCACTTAGCTGAGGTTAAACAAATCTATGAGTTCACTGTTAATATAACACTGTTATACTTTGTTATAAATCTGTTCTGCATAACGAATACCAATATTGCAGCATAAAATTTCTGGCATGTTTCCAACTGATTGAATAATCCAGACATATCAAGGTGACATATTAGAACATTCTAGTCTATGTACATTGCAACCCAAGGAATTTCTGGAGGGAGAAAATCTTCTAAAACACAATAGAGTAAGTGTCTAGGAGTTCCATGCCTCAGTGGACCATATTGTTATTTCACGATTAGAAACACGTGCACACACAAGCACATAAAGACATATAAAAGAAACATGCACACAAACATATTTGAGTTTACAGGCACGAGTTTCTCTTTAATTCAATTATAAATTTTTATCAAATTTCAAGTATATTACCTCTAGGGGTGATAAATCAGCACCGCGGCTAAATGTCATCTCGATTCGGAACTTTTTAGGGTCTTCCAGAGCCACCTGAAAATTCAATTTCAAATTCATTATTTCAGTCTCTCAATCAAACATGAGATCCCATTAGTTTCATCATGAGAGAAAATCAAACAGGAATATGAGATGTATACGCTTCTTTCTTCGCAAAGAGAGGTAAACAGAGGTTTAAGCGAAGTCAACTAAGCATGAAAGAGATTTTACCATTCAGGTTTAAGAATACAAGAGTCCCACCAAAGAAATTTCCTAGTAGCTAAAGCCCCAAAATATTCATAAAATAATTCAAAGCAAATTGTGTCCACTTTACAAGCTGACAACTTCTGTTACCATTAAAAGGAAAATCTTGTTTACATCTTCTGTAGATTTAGAAAAATTAGAGATTCAACCCAAGCGTCCCCCAGGACTGCACAGAACCTAACAAATCAGAACAAGTAAAACCTAGGATATATTTCCAGACTGGCTACTCTAGGCTCTGAGGTTAGCAAATTAAAGAAACCATTCAAAAAATAAACTATTATCAATAACAGCTAATTATCTAAGAAACATACTAAGAAAACATATTTACCTCCGTGTTCTCAAACATCCTCAGCACAATATAACTCATGTAGTCAAGCTCCTTTGTCTTATACAAACGATCTAAAGCACTTTGGCAAACAAGACTTTCCTCTTCTTGAAGAGATTCATCCAAGTTGCAGTAGCGGAGAACATTCATAAGGGAATGGATATGCGATTCCTGTGATTCAAATTTATAGAGATATACAAAATATTAATAATTTGAGTTTTCATTTCTGAGAAAAAAAGAATATCTTAATAAATCTAAAGTTTCAAACAAACGTCTTTTGCGTCTTAGGTTATGGAGAAAAATTAAATTGCAAATCACATTTCAAAGTCTATTGATGGCATTAGGGATGATATACTCACAGACGTGAAATAAAGTCGTGTTCTCACATGGCGTTCAGGTGTTTTGACATTTGCATATCTAACAGAAAATTTAAAAGGGGAAAAAAAGAAACCTGTGAGGTGACAAACTATGGTGTAAAGATATTAGTTTAAACTCATGGTTTTTTCTTTTTTGGATAGAAGAAGAAGATATTAGTAAGAGAGACTACAAAGAGAATAGGATAAGGTATCCCCACAAACAAAGATAAATAACGTGATAGTAAAGAAGAATAAAAGAGGATAAGGTATCCTAAGTATTATTTACTTAGGATCTAATCTGTATTTGGTCTCCTTATCATCATCATCATCCTTATCTTTTGGTAATTCATTTGCACTAGATCTTCTCAAGTCATCATTTTTGATGAAAAGCTTAGGTTGATAATCTGAATCTTCCTTTCCAGTCTTAGTTGATGGTGGAGGTTGGTCTTGATTACTCTTAAGTTCAGCAACACTAAGTGCCTCTTCACGGGTATTCCTCAAATCAATCAAAATTTTACCCAACAAACGGCGAGCAATCTGAATTGAACAACACAAGAACCAAGTGAGATATTGTTGCACACTGATATTCCGGTGAACCTACAGATCCATGTAGGCAAATTCACACACTTGTCACTGAGACATCAGATATTGAGCATCAAACTAGCAAGATTGTCATGGTGCAGTTAGTGAAAACAAATGCAAAGGAGGCCTATAAATTAAATTAGGTCTATTTGGCAGCAACTACCTCCTCTATATAGCTTAATTGACAAAGAATCCATTATCTTCACTAAATTTCAACTCCAAACTCTAATTTTATGCTGCTAAAAAAATATTAATTTTGAAAACACATTGAACCTAAAGTAGTTTGTTCTCTTTTTGGTAGTTGGTTTACTACAACTAATAAGGTCCCTGGCTGTCGAGTACATAACAAACAAATCTCCAGAAAGTGCAAAGTACACCGATTATATAGTACTTATCAAATGCTCCAGAAAGTGCCAAGTACACAGATTATATAAGTAACTATAGTCTGACCCAGAACTTGTTTGTGCAGGCATAGATATCAAGATTGTCATAATAAACTTCTCCATGTACAAATATGATGGAAAATGGTGTTCCTAGATTGACTAAATTCTAGCATCCCATTATCCAAATTTTGATTACTATTGCATTGTTATCTAAAAGGATGAACCATGTGCCTACAACTATCCTGATAATCTTAAGAAAAACAAAATTATCAAATAGATTCAACTCATATTTTGTTCTTAAAGAAAACAAGTATAAAGTTACTGGAGCATGAAGGATTTGGTCCTCAACTTTTTTTTACCGTGAAAATTATCCTAAAAATCTACGGCTATGTTTGGGACAAATGAATACTATTGAAGGAATTATTTATAAATCCATGCTTATTTTAACTATGAGAAAGTAGAAAGTCCTACAAAATAACAAAATTGAGCTCATACACCAAAAAAGAATTGAGATATTACAATTTCAACTTCCATGAGTTCCAATAGAATCTAAAATTCATCGTCTTCATTCCACTTCAAATTGTTTACGAGCTCTATTATCAATTTTTAAGAGATGTCTTGCATCTCTCAGCTAAAATAAACATGGATTTCTAAATCCATCTCATAAACAAAGTGTCTTTGATCCAAACATAACATTTGATAGAAACTAAGCTTTATCATTTATAATCTCATATGCCTCTATAATCTGCTGTCAAACAACTGCAAGCCAAACACACAGTAATCTGCTGTCGGAAAAAGTCCAATTACCAGTACAAACAGGTGAATACATGAGGAAGACACTAAAAGACTTCCATGTCCAAGAATCTTTTGTATTAATACTATATGAAATGATAAAATTGAATGACTTATTATCATAAAAGTATAAGGTGAAAAAAAATTGACACATCTCACATTATTTATAATCTAACATAAACAATGAAAAGAATATCACAGGGGACGATCATCAGAGAAGCGAGTTCACCTTTGAACCAATTTTGAGCTTTTGTTTTGGATTAATTCCATACTCATTTGGGATGACACCATCTGCAAGGAGCTGCAATAACAATATGCCGAGGGATTATAACCAACATATTCCAATAACCTAGATAAAACTAGGACAGATTGTGCAGTACAGTTCTTTCATTTTCTCTGCAATCTACTTTTGCAATCTCCCTGAAAACCACTTGAAACATGGAATTAGTGATCATATGGGTTTTCAGTTAAAGATATGTGAACAATACAGTTCCAAAGGCCATGAGATTATTATAATAGTAGTATCTCTATCTCATGGGAAAAGAGGTATCAGAATAAAGAGCTATCTAGTCTTTCCCTTGTTCATGCAACCTTTTCTAAGTGAAGTATATCAAAGAGAATCAACATTATCTAGCTAGAGATAAATGTATGGCATGGTTCAATTGCATATGTACCTGAGCAACATTGAACAGCTCATCTAATCCTTCTAGGTTAAGATGGGCATTATGCAAGAGATCATACCTGTCAAAATAATAGGTCACACAAGCAAATACAATCAGAACGGATTGCTTGTATGTTATAAACAGAAAACCTTCATTTAGACAAGACAATATAAAAATCTCAATCAAAATAAATGAAGTAACATGAAATTTATCTAATTCCAAAATTGTTACGTGCAACATAAGAAAATTTTATAACAGGAATAATCTAACCGGTAGAAGTTATCCGTAACTTTTCCAGTACTTACTCAGTTCAAATAGAAATTGCCAATCAATCAGACCATTTGCCCACCATTTTTCTTTGATCTATCTCAATTTCTAATCAAATTTCATCAGCATTGAACGATCTGGTTCTGCTCACCCCCTCCTCCTCCCACCACTCGAAATCATCTTAGGTTATAAGAAAAGGATAGGAGTTTGGCAGTTCAATGACCCCTATATCACTACCTTGCACCCCTACCTTTGACAAAACTGATTCCAACTGTGGCCGCTCCAGAAATATCCAAGTTTAATAAAAATTCTAACATTTTTCAAAGATTGACATCAGTCATCAAGAAGGCACAGTGTTCATATGCTTAGAAATACATCAAGAAAGCACTACCTTGCACCCCCACCTTTGATAAAACTGATTTCGGCTGTGGCTGCTTCAAGAAATATCCGGGTTTAATAAAAATTCTAATATTCAAGAAGGCAGTGTTCATATGCCTAGAAACACATTACTTTTGCCGCCTTTTTTTGGTTCTTTATCAAGGTTCATAGTAGGAAAGTGGACATGGATTCTCTAGCATTTTGTTATTTTAGAATCAACTGTAGCACGCTCCTCCACTATTAGTGCAGGCAAACAAGCAGCAATACATACAAAAGCTATGAACTCACTTACTCTAAAATCCTTTAGATTAGGAAAATAAGTCCTTTTCTGAAATAAAATTTTGACAAATATACAAAAATAACAAGAACCTTCCAACAGAAGATAGAAGCAATGCTCAAATGTGGTATTAAATTGTAAAACTTAAAGTTCAGTTCCACGCAAAACAATAAAAAAAACACTTACTTGCAAGAGTCATAAACATCTGGAATTTGTGTAATGTCAAACCGTCTGCAGGTGAATCCTACTGTCAGTGGCAATGCTAGCATTGACTTTACAGATAAATTAAAATTTGAGAGAGAGAAGAAATAATTTTTGAGAAATACCCCAAATTAGAAATCTTATTTAAACCTATGCAGAAAAAGAATTAAGCATTACCAAGTTTAAAATAAAGAACACTTACTCTTTCCTTTCATTATACAGATCCCTTTCAAGTTTTCTCCAACGAGCATACATTAAAAGGAATCCTTCACTACCACAGGGTAATCCGGCAGCAATCCGATCAATGTCAATATTGGTCTTGCCAAGGGCTTTTGCTTGGTCATACGGAGGAACCACATCATACATGCTCGCTTCTGTAAGATTCTCATCTTCATCTTTTGCAAGAAGGCGTACTTGTTCAGTCACCTTCTTAGTCATTTGACCTGTATGAACAGAACAAAACAAACAAAAAGGATGTTTTCAAATATTTGAAATATTTTTCCATTACCTTCACAAAAATTGGCTCATGAAATGACATGGAAGTAAAAAAGACAACCATCACAAGCACAAGACAAGGGATTGTAAAAAATCATCATTTCATGCATGCAAAAATGACTGGAAAATAAACTGCAATTCATAGATGAGAATAAGCAATGCCACTATTGCATACTTAAGACGTCTCTCTCCCATCAACTACTGTTAGGGTCCCTACTGACAAATCTAATTGTGGGTCTGTTAAGATAGATATCAGTAGGAGAGGGGGAATTTTTGTGACTTTCCTACTTTTACCTATCTTGAAATCAGATTAAGGGCTCATTAGGAAAGAACTCTACAATCTCTTAAATAAAAAAGTACTCAAAACTTTCATAAAATACTTCATTCATTGCCTCTGTCCAAGGAAACAGCAATATTTGTTACAAAGACAAGGTTATCAACCTGAAAGTTATTGCCAAAATTTATCCCAACTACCTCTTAGACTTATTCCTACATACATATTCTTCCATCACGTTTAGACTTATTCCTGTATGCAAATTCTTATTTAACACTTGACTACCACGCATATAACAGAAACCTAGATCATCTCCTCTAATTACCAAATACATATTCAATCATACAATGTCTTCGTCCTTCTCTGATACAGCTTATCAAAAGGTGTCATTTTATTTGTGGAGTCTCTAACAATACCTGTATACACAATATGATAAGCCTTGGTTGATTGTAACCAACTTCTCTAAACTAAAATAATTTTTAATGTTTGCCACACCACCCTTTGTGGTAATCTAAACATACCAGTCAAAATCCTTTTTCCTAGAAATGTGCAGTCAAGTGATGATATATCTAGATTAAGATGACAGCATCTAACAGTTATTTTTATAACTAACTGGAAAAAATGGCTTATTTGAAGCGTAATGTCTGAATGCAGAAACAAGTAAAATAAGATGGGCGGCAAAGAAACCTGCTAAAGCCAATAACAAACAAATAATGAATTGATTATGGTAAAAGAAGTAACACACTTAACAAAGCATGTTTATGGAAATATGCTCAAAGAAGCATCATTTATGTCCCCGAATCAAGAATTTATTGAGTGAGGGCATGATTGAAGATGTCAAATTAGCATAGAAATTTGACGTTCTGTGCAACATACCTTTCCAGTGTGACCGTTAGCTTGAAAGGTCTTGGACTAGGATTTTTCTTTTGCTCATCAAACTTGAAGGTTTTCATTTCTATAATTTATGTGATTTTAGGAATAAGAGCATTTCAAGCTTTGGAAGGGGGCTATTTTTGCAGGTCTTTTTGGGTCTTTGGTTCAAAAGAGATGCAAAAACTTTTAACCAGTGGTCTTTCTGTTAACGCTATTTAGGATAGAATTCTCTTTCATGTGTTTCTAGAGGATAGCTTTTCTGCCTATAAATCATTTTTTGTCTTTCTTCATATAGTATATTTCATTTTTCATTAAAAGAAAAAAAGAGAGAGACTTAGTTGGCACCATGTGTTGAACAGATAGGAAAATGATCTTATCTCTAATTTATTGTTTGTATATCCTCTTTTCTGTCAGAATTAATAGATCCATTTTCTTGTTTTTAGTTCCCAGCAGATCCAATTCCATAATCCCGTATCTCTAGTTAACTCTTCCTTCAATTAAGTTATATCTACTCATCAAAAGGTCTTAAAGAAAATAACAGTAAAGAGACCAAATCAACAGTCTAAATTTTACTTTAAAAATATTCACCAGTTTGGATAGGAGTTCAGAAGCATTAGGAGGCAGGCCAGCCCCATCAACCATCCAAGGGCAATCAGATGATCCGTTGGTGTGGATTGTCTTCATACCAGAAGTTATAATCTCATTCAACCTAGCCTGCACAAAATTCAAAGAGAGGAGACACACAGAGAGAGCTGTTAATACACTTAAGTCTAAATTTTTAAATTGCATTGCAAAACTTTGAAGATCCATAAATTTGGAAGTATATTCATATCAACTCATATAGAAACAAGATGTATTCTGTTCCACTTCCCATGACCCAATGCCTCCTCCCCAACCCCTGGAAAAGGAGGATTAAAGAATAAATAAAAAGTAAAGTGTATGATCCGTGGTTTTTGTTTCCCTGGTTCTTAACAGAAACAAACAGAATCTATCTTTGGTCCAACTGCTGTGAAGTCCTTGCCAATTTCCATGCTGTCGGTCAGTCAATGTCCACAGCATTTATTCTATCATTTTCGATTAGCCTCTATAAATGCTGGAGATCAACTGGAGACATACCTTGGCTTCTTCCATTTCAATGCTGGCATTGTCAAGTCCATCCAACATGGAAGAGTCCTTGCTAACAAGGGAGACCTTGACAAAGGTAATCAGGTCAGATGTAGCTCCAAGGTTAGAATGAAGCTTAGACTCGTAAAGAAAAGGTCACAAACCAGTATTGGGGTTAGCTGCCCTTCAAGATCAAGAAGGCCTTTGGCAAAAGCAGCTGCAGACATCTGTCAAGAAATACTAGGTCAGTGATCATAAACATGTTGCATCTCAATCAATACAAACTAGGTTTAGAAAAGCATGAAGATATTATGGAACCTGACAACAGGAAAACCAAAGACCAAGTTTTGCATAATCCTACTAAGGTCATACCTGCACACGACCCTCATCAGAGCTGTAAATTTTAAGATCATGACGATATGTACTGTGAAGCCGAAGCAAGCCAGTACCTTCACCTGAATATATAAATTTATCAAGAAAAGAACAAGTGGACAAATTATTGTTGTCTACCACTCTGATTGCCTCCTGCACAGCTGGTAATTATTTTTATGGTAACTATTGAAGAAAATACTATAACTTGAAGGTATATTAGAGATAAAATGTACAGCGAGTATTCATAAGGCTTTTCAATTGAGAACAAAACAGAAAACTATGAATAAGAAACTTAACAGGATAGGAAAAGACACTTAATGCATACGATATATTACTATATATGAAAATGTATTTCAAATACAGACAACGGTCCCCTGGATAATATATATATACAGACGAAATATACACCTTGGTTTATAGAAGCTTTTCCTGAATTGCTGGTCTACTAATTTCGAATACTTAGTGCGGATGACATTCTATAGAAGCTTTTCCCAAATAAATGCATTTAGTCCTTTACTGAAAAACTAGACAGGAAGCAATTTGGATTGCTGTTTGGCTATCACAAAGCAGCTCCATAGGTCGTAATTGTGGACAATCAAGTTCATGATGCGATGTTTCAGCCAAATCAACTCACAAATGATATGAGCCATGGCTTCATATTTTTACTCAAACTAGATCTGCCAATTACAGTCTGCTTCTTTCTCTTCAAGATGCCATGTTACCACCCATAAAAGATTTAGTATCCTCTAATAGACCTACATTCATTAGCAAAACCATCTCAAACAACATCCATATACCCCTAGATCGAAGTATGCCCGTAATGCTTATTGATTAACCCATGACATGGTGCATCTTTAAAATATCTCAAGATGCAAACAACCACCTCCTAGAGACCAGCCCAAGAAGAGTCCATGGATGAACTCATAATTAAATGTTTGAATGTCATAGTGAGGTAATTCAATTTTTCAACTAACTCCTATAACATCCTGGTGCCCCAATAATTCACCCTTATCTACAGCTACTTTGAGATTTGGATCCATAGGAGTAACATTTGGTTTAGATGGCAATATCCTATCTCATTCATACGATTAAGAACTTAATTTCTCAATGGCAAATAGATGCCTAACTTCGACTTAGCTACCTCAATACTGAAGGAGTACTCTAAGAGCATAATCTTTAGTGTAAAATCAAGTCTAACGGAAAAGCTTCAACTTTTGTATCCCGTTGGCACATTAAAATTAACTCATAATATTTATCGAGTAAACCTTGTTATTTTGTTGCAAGAATTCTTAATTCATGAGTATTAATAAGGAACTTACATCACTACAACAGAGACTAAAATAGGTGTTGGATTCAAAGCTTATGTCAAAGATTATAAGGTTATTTATTGTATTCCTAAGCCTCTGATAAAAAATAGTGATATCTTAGTAACATTTTGAGTAACTCCTCAATTTGGCGTTCCATATTAGGAAGTAGGGGCTATAATAGTTGTTGAATCTTCTATTGGTACACGAACGTGTGAATCAATTGACTTACTAGTCTTGATTGTTATAAAGGATGATGGTATATCATCAAGCCTATTCCTAGAGAAGAAACTAAATTTATCGCCTATGTTACTAACATATTTACTTTATTTAGATTTAAATCCTTACGCACTCTACATTTAGAAGATATGCCAATCCCTCTTGCTTATACAAAAACTTCCAAGGACCGCTTTATGGTATTCTGATTAAAATGTTCTATTAAATCTATGTTGGTCTTATCTGCTAAAGCAGCAATAGAGTGATTTATGAATGTCTAGGCAGCAGACTTGATCTTTTACAACTTCCTGATCAAGAAGGATGCAAATGAGGAAAGTTTTCAGTTAAGACAAATTTCAAAACTCAATGCTTCGTTGAGGATAGCTTTCTTTGCTTGCGAAGTAGCTCAAGAGAGCATTTTGACTATCGATAAGCTTATGAGCAAAGAGAAGATCATAGTGAACCGGTGTTATTTATGTAAGAAAGTGGAGGAAGCTTGTGATTATATCCTGCTTCATTGTCCCATCGCATATACCTCACGGTCTACAGCTTTTGGGATTCTAGGGCACAAGTGGGTCATGGCAGGCATAGTCAAGGGAGAAATTTGGGCGTGAAAATACATAACGAGAAGGAAAAAGTATTTGGGACTCATTCCAATGGCAATCATCTAGGTTGTTTGGAAAGAATGAATAGGAGAGTTTTTGAGGGTATGAAGAAGAGCATCAATAAAATTAAGGAGAGATGGTTCTGATCCTTTGGTGTGCAGATTTTTAAACAACAATTGTATTCCATAAAGAACCTAGGTAAACTACTCAATATATTAACATATATGTAAATTCTTTTTGAACATGGGTTTTTGCACCTCTTGGTGCATGTAATTAATAAATTTCATACTTTTTATTAAAAAAAAAGAACTTAATAATAACATTTGGTCAGGGCCCATTTAGACGAGCTAAGAGTGAAATCCAACGACAACTGACAATTGTATTTCAAGGAGCAAATTTTCCCGAACCCCAGATATCATTCTCATTTAACAAAAGCATCTCTTCTTCCATTGTGAAGAAGATTGAGAGTCTGGGAGAAGAGGAGAATCCTTTGTTATTATTATTGGGCACAAAGATGCCAATTTATAAGCATTCGGCCAGAACAAACAAAAAAAGGTTATGAAAAATATTCTAACAATCTAATGGGGTGCAATGGTAGTGGACATTTTCCAGTTGTCATAACAACCTAATAAAATACTAATTTTTCCCCTAGTGTATTTACATTTCTACACATATACATTTATACACTCTCCCTCAATTTAGGATACATAAATGTTAAGTAATCGTATATTGGATACAAGATTATTAAATACGCTTTTTAGTAATGCTTTTGTGAGAATGTTTGCAGTTTGTTGACTTATTGGGATGTATTGTAGTGATATATTCTTGCTTTTAAATTTCTCCCTGATGAAGGGTAGATCAAATTCCACATGTTTAGTTCTGTCGTGGTGCATAGGATTCTTGGTCATGCTTATAGTTGATAGATTGTCACACCAAATTCTCATAGTAGTGGAAGCCGAGAACCTTAGTTCAAATAAGATCTTTTTCAGCCATACTCCTTCACATATTCCATGAGCAAAAGATCGTAATTTAGCTTCACCATTGCTTCTTGACACAACAGTTTGTTTCTTACTTCGCCAAGTGACTAGATTGCCCCATACATAAGAACAGTTACCAGATGTAGATATCCTATCAGTTACTGAACCAGTCAAATCAGCATTAGTGTAGATTTTAATATCTCTGACCATAATCTTCTGAAAAAATAATACTTGTCCAGATGTCATCTTTAGGTACCTTAAGATGCGATAGACAACACTTATATATTCATCAGTAGGTTGAGACATGAATTAACTCACAGTACTTATTGCAAAGCAGATGTCAGATCTCCTATGAGCCAAGTATATGAGTTTTCCAACAAGTCGCTGATACATCTTTTTATCAATAGATTTGCTATCACTTTTGGAGCCAAGTTTAGCATTTGATTCTATAGGAATCTCTGCAGGTTTACAACCAAGTATACCTGTCTCATTCAGAAGATCTAAGATGTATTTTCGTTGAAATCTAGAAACTCCCTTCTT